CGTCGGAGTTCTATGAAGAAATTAAGTAAATTAGTCTATTTTTAACAAACTTTGGCCTATTACGGTGATGTCTGTATACCAAAACTTTCTTAATAACTCTTTAAAACTCGGTGATTTTTTTCGGATCTTTAAACGACATCCGAAATAAGAAGGTTCTTGTTTCTTCGGGTTTATTTTTTGTAATAATGTTATGTGATTACTCCGCCAATTCTGACGATTCTCTTTGTAGAGTTTACTTCCCTGTTGATCCATTAATTTTGTGTTGCATTCTTTATATTTGCGAACCAAAAAATGCCTTTTTAAAACGACTCTGCCTCTTAATTTTGCATTCTAAATTAAAATAATTTTAATTTAATCTACAAAACATTGCGGGTTCATTGGCGTGTATGTGTTCATGAATGAATGTTTTGAAAATAGTTTAAAATCTTCACAAAATACTCTAAATATAAAACAAGATACGAATTATTTAAATAAAGTTTAAAATGTGGTGACTTTCATACCGTAAATAAAGATATTAGGTACTTTTATAATAAATTATTTTCACGTTATAGAACTTTCTTATGTGCATAAAAAACGCGCGTCACTCCTACGAAGAATGGAGCGCTGTAGCTCAGAGCAGTTTTATTGCCCTCTGCGATTCCACAAAATATATTTCTGTTTTTGCTCTTGACACTGGCCAGAACGAATTATGTTGGCGGGTGTGGTGCGAGGCGAGGCGAGGCGAGGCGAGGCGAGGCGAGGCGAGGCGAGGCGAGGCGAGGCGAGGCGAGGCGAGGCGAGGGTAGTGCAGCGGGCCGCGCGTACGCTCGTACTGGTACTGAGCTCGGCCGCTGCGTGTGCGTGTGCGTGTGCGTGTGCGTGTGCGAGCGCGTGCTGGACGTGCTCGCTGTCGGGCGCATGTTATTGCTCGCGATCGCTATTCAAGCGGCGCCGCATATAGCGCCCTAACGCCCAAATAATGATGTATTACATACAAAACGCGGCGCCGCCTTTTTATATATCATGTCACGTAACCAATACGTTCCTTTGTGAACGTTACACAACAGAAGTTAGAGCAATACACGATAGTAATGAAAATTTGTTGAAGAAAACTTGTTAAGGGTTAACTTGTTATTACTTCTGTTTAACAATAAATAAATGCTTTACTTATTCTCGTCCAAATATCGAGACGTAACAGAGAGGCTACGAAAGTAGAATACGAAATCTAGAGAGGTAAATACTTTACTTACTATTAAATAATTAAGCATCGTACCAAACGAGCAGGTATTCAATTGTTTTAAACTTTTTGTATTTGTATGATACGTTCGATAATTCTAGCTTGATTTTAATATTTTTTTTTTTTACTATCGATAAACTTTTCTCGCATGTTAGTTTCTTATTATGTTAAAATTATCAATAAAAATCATTATTATATTATTTAATCATTAAATATGAAGTAACCAATAGGTTAATAAATTGAAACAGATTTTTACTAGCTTTTTATTATAACATAATTTAAAAAAATACAATTTAGTTCAGAAAGATATATAAAACTTTAGAATAATACCCAATATGTAAAACTTTTACCATTGCTCGTCGGGGTTTATTTCGAACAAAAAAATCCACTGATACATTGAAAGACAAAAATATTTATGTTACCGCGGAACCAATATGCGAGTCACAAAAATATTCCAAAAGTAGTAACTTTTAGAATACCGAATGGCGGCAGGTAAAGCCTTTTAGGGCTCGTTGTTACATTATGCATGGCGGGCGGAGCGTATACAACGCGCCGCGGATGTTTCGTGACACAGATGTTGATGATATAAAATTGTTTTGTTAGCTGAGCGGCGACTAGAGTCACTGGCAGGTTAAACGCTGCTCGCTCAGCGGGCAGGCGGTGCTCCTGGCGCCGCGACCTTCACGTCACGGCCTGCGCCCTAAATCGGATCCCTCGTCACCCGGCCTGACAAAAGAAGCGATATTATTTAGTTGGTGATGGATCACCGCATGCGAGTGGCGCCCGTCGACTCCCCGCCCCGCTGACCTCTCCTCGCAAATTGCTTCAAAATCACCAACAAAAAATGAGATTGTCGCATCCCGAGCGAAGCCGCGAGCCGCAGCACCGCGCCCGTTCATATTACGATAATATTTAGAAGAAGCGGCCACTGCCGGCCGGGGCGAATAACGCAGATTCCTTTTATTTTTTATTCCTTCCGACAACTTCTGATTAATTTTAACAACAAAGTCGGAATTATCCCTCTTCAATAACATAATTTAATTCAGAAAGTAAAGAAGCGAGGGCCGCCTTCTGTTTGTTTGTTAAATAGAGAACTTTTTGTGAAAGTTTGCATAGAAAATTGAGCGCGAATATCATAAGATCGCTTCGGAACTCGTCCGTAGAAAAGTATTATAGGAAAGGAGTCGGAGACGATAGAAAGATAACGGTGTACTTACACTGGCTTGCAATACGATGTGGGAGATGACTAGCGGCGAGACAAATGAGTTCAGTTACTATGCTAATAATAAGCTGCTGCGTACGGTAGACGTGTAGTTTGCTGCGGGCAACTACAAGTAGCTACGAGAGGCTACGAGCTACGGCTATCTACGACAAGCTACGAGTGACTACAGCTCGTCGAATTCGGCAGTTAAGAAAACATTTTGATTACTATCAACGTTGTCTTTTCAATAGTTACACACTCGACGGTGCTTGTGAATGAATAATATCCGAAGTTTTGGGAATGAAGTCGCCAAAGTTCACCAAATAATCAAAGGTATTATATATTATTATACCATTCTATTTAAGTAAACATCTTTGTAACGAAAAGATGCCAGTATAAAATTAAAGTGATATAGACGTACATAGTTGCTATTAAAATGAGCATGAGCTGACTTACTTGAGTAATAAACATATTTCTCTTATTTTCAATACCTAATTGTGTCCTATATGACCCGAAGTCCACTTCTCAGCGGGAGCCGTATGGAAAGAGAAGGAGTTGCACTAAAGGTTCTTCGAAGCTCTTCACGAGTCGTGCGTCAGCACGAAGTCCTCTATACACTTGTTTTAATTCGGTGATCTCCTTGGTAAGACCGAGAGTTTTGACTGTGTAACAGAGGACAAGGCAGTTAAGACAAACAATTATCGACAGCATATTTTGAAGGATGGCACTGAGGAAATTTGTTGGGCACGTCGCCATCTCCGAGAGTCAGTTCTTACCAACACAGTAATTGCATAAACATAACCAGGTAGCCAAAATACCCCATCTAGAGTTTGCTCTCAAGTACGGCCTCGTGAATGAGAAGTTGCCGTATTATAAGTATGAACCTCAGTCGGTCCTCGAAAGCGGCAGCGTCAGGCTCTACTGGGACCGATCCATCATCACGGACAGGACAGTTTCTGCGAACAAACCTGATATCGCAGTGATGAATCGGGCACTCTCGAGAGTATTTTTGGGGAATGTCATCATACCGCATGAAATCGAGAAGAAAAGGAAATACCAGACTTGGCTTACGAGGTGACCGAAATGTGAGGATTACATCCACTGAAATCATTCCAACTCTGTCGGTTCTGTCGGTGAACGGTCTCATCCTAACCAGTCTGGAATAACTCTTCAGATGATTGGGATTCCAAGGCGGATTACTCCCTGGAAAGATGCGGAAAGCGGTGCTCTTGGAAACTGTTCGCATAGTACGCCGGTGTCTCTGGGACCTGGAGGGTTAGTTTGTCATCTTCTCTTTTTAAGAAGGGAGATGTGAATTTTGTTTTAAAAAATAATAGAATAAATACAAGATACTATTCAATACACATAACGGATAAATAACAGTATTCAATATACTAAAACATTTTTTATAATGGTTTGTGTATTTTAAGACTTAGAATCCTCAATTTAAATTATAAAATGTCTTATGAATAAAATTATTTGTAGATTAAATTTCATATAACTGTTATTTCAACATTACAATAACAGTAATACATTGGTTCATAAATAATAAACATAAAACGAATTTGAGTTCGAGCTTATTACTATTGAGATACTTTTGCGCGATTAGTTAAGGTAAAAAATAAGTCTAATTCTAAGCTACAACAATACGCCTTTAAGTTAAATTGTGCTACGTTTCTTGAATCGGAATGTAAGTAATGTATAAGCCGAGTGTACAAAGAAATAAAGTTGGCTTTAGTGGGATCGCGGCACGAGGCAGCCGAGCTGAAGGCGCGCGGGGAGCGGCTGAGGCGCGAGGCGCGAGGTGTGAGGCGCGCCACAGCCCTGGCTTTATTAACCAAAGCAGAAGGCTGCGATCCCAAACTCGTCCATTCGCGAGTAATGACGCCATTCACCAACTTATAAACATGTCGATCTTCGACACGCCAAACAAAGCCAGCCAAGCGTGAACGTCGCACGCGCCACGGGCTCCAAAAACACATGTATAATCCATGAATATTTGATTTTTTAGTTATCGCATACTCTTGCGGGAGTATAAACTTTGTAGTATCAATAGTTTGAAGGAGGAATCCCGCCCGTAATCCCTAGAGAATATTCCCTAGAACTCTGCCTCGACTTCTAGTATGTTATACAAACATGTCGGTAAGCACCTACATAACTCGACATGGATAGAGACGACTTAGACTTACAATTGTTGTTATTTAAAATTACCACCAACATACTCGTATCTTGTAATTATTCTTACTGAAAAGTCCTACAAAGTTAGGAACTTTGTATTGCATTAGATAGGTAGCCGCTTTCTCTGAGAACTTTGATCGTGTAATAAGATTTGGCAATTTCTATAAATGTCCTAAAAATTGATACAGATTTTCCGCGTGACGTACTAGAACGAGAAGACCTAAGGCAACTGTGCGGAAATTTATGAGGCACGGGGGTAGGGGGTACGTGTGTGAAAAGATTATAATGCGAGCCAGCACCGCCGCTACACCGCCGCGCTTATCATATCAGCATTCAGCACAAAATTCACAGCATCATAATACTTTCTTTCGCATTATTTGTGCACTAGGTTAACTGTTAACTTACGAAACAAGAGAACGTAATGTACGAGTACACGTAGTATGTGTGAGCGGCTCGTCGATGTGTGTCGCCGCTGTAGAAATACTTGCGTCACTAACGACGCTCTCGAGGGGACGCTCTCCAGACAGAACAAACTCGTAACTACTCATATTGACAGTCTCTAATTGCGGTGTGAAGTGTGTGCGACTTGGCGCTCGCCTCGCCCCACCTGGGAGCTATTCGCACACTCGTTCGATATCTGGATACGGTCACGGCAAACCGTGCCGCCGGGGACGAAACATTGCCGTAACTCAATATAAGGCGGGATAGTGGCGAGCGGTTAAGGAATAGGGTCCGACACTCAGAGAGTGCACAGATGCGCCAAGAGCTCGCGAAGCTCCTCTACTGAATGGTCGATTGGACCGGACTCAATGGAGTGAGTGCAAATTAGCGCAGTCGTCATGTCTCTCTACACGCAATCTATTGTTTATTATGAGCATGCCTACAGCAACCAACTATAAAATTATATCGACTAATTTTAATATTAGTAAATATAAAATTTTTATATAATAGACCAAAATCTAGTGAGACCTCATTAATTTTCTAACTTGTGTATAAGTTATATTTTTTCTACTATTTACTATCTCAGCAATTAAATATAATAATAGGTTAAGCAATTTCAGATCTATTCATACGAAATGTGTACTATAAATATTTTCGAAAAATTCAGTACAAGAGGTGATCGTATTCCGGGACCGCAGATAATGGAACACGGACAACGCAATAATAGGTACTCTGAGACCCTAATATATTATTACATACATAAAGAGCGTGGAACGAATAATTTCAACGGAGCAAGTGATCTAAAAAAACATTTAACAATATATATGTAGCTTATATTTAGACATACAACTGAAATTAAATCTTTTAACGAAATTTTGGTAGTCTTCAGGGGTTGAAATCATTCTCATAACCTCACCCTAGAAGGACGTCAACTGTAAAGTCTTTCGAAATGCTGTTGAATCGTATTCACAATAATCATATTATATGCCAATAGTTCCTCAATAGTATATTCTATGTTTGATATAAAAATGTAGTTGGAGTTAACGTTGGGAAATCACTAGGCTAAAAACCTTTAAACACTGCAAATGTTATCTTTTCAGATAACATTTGCAGCGTTTATGGCAATCTAAAACTTAAAGAAGTTTGTACTCTTTTTTTACAGAACACGATCTTAAATTATTTCATTGTCATTTCATGAAAATTATAAATATTATTTACATATTAAAACTTGACAAATAATTATGTAAATACGTACAACGCTGGTTATCGCCAATACCTTGAAAACATTGATACGTGATTCCAATTTTCTTTATTGTTTCTGGTAATTTCTTTATACTTTATTATTATACTATTTCATAATAATTAAATAGTTTCGTCTTACAGTCTACCAGTAATGTGCGGGCGTATATATGTGCGTGCGTGCGTGCGTGCGTGCGTGCGTGCGTGTGTGTATGTTTGTGTGTCTGGAACATTACTATAAGGAGTTATCTACTATAATTTGTAGGCCGCTCCTTTTTTTTATAATTCTGAAAATACAACAAAAAAGCAAAATAAACCTTGTGTAAATAATAATAAATGCTGAGTAGATATCTAATCTGATCTTGTCAATTTCTCTATACATTTTTTTTAAATAGGAAATTACTTTAATTTATTTTTATAGCAACATAATTTAATTAACCAAAAAAATATAGCACAAAATGACAATGGCATACTGTCTTACCTTTGGGATGACTAGAAATTGCTTGATCTTTTAGAACTGACATCGTATATTACTATTAAAGTACAAGCCGGATAGTTGAACCTGCCCAGGTTAACGACGCGCCGCCCCGAGGGTGCGCCGGTTCAGCTAGTTACTTTAATACACTATCGCATATTGTAGCTACTCGACCGATCGTTTATCAATTAATACAAGCCAAGTCGGCCACATTCCGGCTTACGACGAGGTAATGAGCCCTGAACTAGCATCGAGCGCGGTGGAAAGCATAAAACATACTGAATAAATTGTATCCGTTATGGAAAAGGTACACGATAATATTTCTTAGCAATAACCAAAGCGATATATGGAAGGGAAATAAAGCGAGGAACAGATATTTGTCATCCAGCTTTGATGGCACCCTCGCCTGCGCTCGCTATAAAATGAGCCATTCTTTTAACACAATAAGATCGTAACAATATGCGCGTAATAAAAACTGATGTCAACTTATTCCAGCGACACGAAAAACTTTAAGCCGACAATTTTGTGAGCTGAGAAACGTTTAGGAAAGGGCCTGATACTCGGGCGGCATGTGTAAGGAGTCGACTAAAAGTTTTCAAAGTAAGTCTTAGTTAGAATTAAAGTGGAGAGAGGAAGTTTACGACGGTCAATAGTCGGCAAATTATGGGCTACTAAACTGCAATATGTGTAGTGCACTATAGTGGGCTGTAATTCGCCACCGAACCCAAGTTACCCATCTAACTGCCGACTGTGACTTTTATCGTGGCCCCGCTCGCGCCAGGTCACGGTGCAGGGCGCGTTTTTCATTCAATTACTCGTGTTCACCGCAAACAGTCCGCGCCGTTTCCATTTTATTGCTACACGTCACTCCCTGTACCAAACACAGTTCAACACTGCGGTTTAATTACGTTCGAGTCACGCCACATACAATAATATGCGGTAATCGTGCCGACGGCAATCATTGTTACGTAGTATCTATGATTAGCTAGGTATTCTATAGCAGTTGTAAGCAAGTGTTTACATCCTTTCTATTTAAATACACCCTAAACTAAAATCAAGTGTGGTTTATAATTACGTTAATAGCATTTAATGATTCTTGCACAGTATTAATAGTGGTTGCGTGGGCGCAGCGCGGCGCGGCGCGGCGTGATGCGGCGACGGCCGGCGAGCGCCTCACCTCATCAATAGTTAATAATCTATTAGGCGGAGCTGAGTTGCTGAGCAGCGTGCCGTGTTCGCCTACTAGTGCCAATACAATACACACAGGCGGGCTCGGGACCTGCGCAAACAAACTCCAGCGACAACTTGAATTATTTAAATGAAAGCTGTCACGCACAATCCAGACACAAAGCCGTCAGACAGGTGATCCGTGAAACTCGTTCGACTGTGAGTAACACTAAGAAAACACGCGCCTATGAGTTGTGATACACTCTGTGATGTAGGCCGCTAGCTAACAACGCCCGACTTTCTCAAAATATACCGTTCGCGTCTAGTGTGGGTGTGTAATTACCATATTTTGATGACTGGCGCGTTAAATTACTTTGTCACTTCGATCAGCATCCAATATAAGTATCATATATATTTCAAGTGCTCGAGTATATTTTATTAGTCGTGTTAATACAAGACTGCTACCGTCTAGAGCAGCGCCTTCCGATATTTTTTTATTCATTTCCTTGTATGTGAATTTACTGGGTACAGAGGAATAACACCTGAGTCCTCAGGAATGGCAACGCATGGGGGGTATCATGGGTGAAACAGTATATTCTGTTATGTCCATGGTACTGCTCATGTCTATAGGCGACGGTTATCACTTTCCATCAGGTGAACCGTCAGCTTGTTTGCCATTCAAGTTGTATAAAAAAAATTTACAATATAGCATACGAAGTCCTCAGGTATGCTAACCGATAGATAAATTTACGTGCCCTCGAAATGGCAAGGAGATGATGATTATTTTTAAACGATGCAATTATAAGAATGTACTCATTAGTGTAATAAACTGTCACTAGATTTGCACAAAAAAAGATAAAAATATATGTAGTTCTTCGGATGGAAATAAGTTTAACAACTTTGTCTATTTACATATAATATTTACAGAAGGTAAATATTATATACAAAGAAATATGTAGAAATTATATATATATATATATATATATATATATATATATATATATATATATATATATATATATATATATATATATATATATAAAAACAGAAATTAGAAATGTAAGAGGCGAGCGACCGAGATGGAGAGAATGACAGTAGAAATGAATGTAAGAAGTAAACGTCGCTGTCATGGCTGTACGAACAGTCCGAAAGAAAGAAAGAGGTGGAATATCTATGTACAATTTAATTAACCTACTTCATGGAAAAGAAAGTAATGATGTTGACAAGTGGCTATGAGATGAACATGTACAATATTTATTTACAGACACCACATATATAAAAAAAGGAAAATACATAAGATTTTATTTCGTGTGTGTGTACCACAATAATACAGTCACAACAACTCAGTGTTCTAATTTTAAGTATTGAATTAAAAAAAAATATAGCTGTTAGTAAAAATATACGTCATTTGCGATTCTAGGTCGCAGATTTATTATTATTTCCGAAATGCTCAAAAGTTGGGAAGCTATTGTCTATTTCATAGATATACCTATTACTACATCTATAATTTTCTGCAGACTGTATAACCTCCATAAAAATACTATGCTACTGCATATTTCGACTTAATTTTTTATTCATATTTATCACACGGTGTTTTTCTTACAGTACGGAGTTTTGATTTGATTATCCATCAAGACAGCAGATTCGAATTAATAGACGACACAACAGCAGCACAATAATGTACACATGAACAGTAAGTGCAAGAAGCATGTTTCGATTATATAATTTTCCAAATACAACTTTACCAATTATGTAACTCACGTAGTAACAATCCGAACCAAACAGTATATGAAGGCTGGCCATTACGAATTCCAGTGTAATCAATCCGTCGCAGGCATGAAGAGTCACTAGGAAAACCGACGAAGCCTCGTTTGGTTTCTTACTACAACGATCTCGGTAATCTTGACGTTGATTTATTTGCTCCGTCTCTTAGCAAGGCCGAACGGTTTAGCTTCATAGGTTGATGGACTTATAATGAAGTGGCTATTTGTATAATACGAGACGATCCAACCTCAAAAGTTCACCTATTATATAGAAATCTCCAGCAACGTTAATGGAGTGACTGTACTTTAATTAACTTTATAATGTGTTCGAAATCAAATTGTAAAGTAATTAACATGTTGGAAGTTTAAAATGGCGTCAAACTAATACAGAGCTGTGCCGTATTACGGCAGGGACGACGGCGGGGGGGGGGGGGAGGATGGGCACATTAAACTTTGCCTATTAACAGGAGCTGGGCACCTTATCGTGACGCCTTCCTGCTATACCAGTGTACTAATACTTGTACTTTACAATACGAGTCTTACAATTAATAACTTTCATAAAATTAATTCAATATTATCCACAATGTATAGAAACGCTGATTATACATATACATGTCTTAAAATTTTGTTCCACTAAAATAGTCCACATATTGTTATAAATCCTTTGGACAAAATAATC